GTGTTCATTCATTTAACTTGTTTACAATACATTTCATTACTCAATTTAATTTTTATTATATTTGCTATTATAAAGCACAACGACGGATGTATTTAATAAAATTATTAAAAAATTTGTATTAAAATTGTGAAATATCAGGATGTCAAATCCAAGGAACATTAATGGTTCGGTTCGTGAAGGAACTCGAGTAGTACTTCGTGAAATCACTGCATCTCTTCATAATTGCAAGGTATTTATGATGTTCTTACAAATGATAACGTTTTGCCAATGCGCATGACAATGAACTTTAAGTCAACATATTCTGCGTTCTTATCAGTTATCTTTTTTATCCGGTTGCTTTTGCTCTATGTTTTTATTGCAAACAGTCGTATCAAAGCATCCCTATAAATAAACCTTGAATCTCCAGGAGCACCTTGAAACGAAAATAAGTTTTGCTTCCCCGTGTGGGAATATCTTTCTTTAACATCTAAAAAGAATGAACGAAAAATGCTTACTTATAATTTCACATATATAATATAATTTAAATATATTTGGCGGATATATAATTATATATAACTTGCAGATATAATTTCTATCACTGCGTGCTGAATGGAAAAATTAAAAAGAATATAATTAATATTTAATACATTAGGTTATTAATCTAAAGTTTTTATAATATTTTATATTCTTTCTTGTACATGAATCAGAAACTAGTTTGTCATCAGTAATATAAAAATGAAACCGGTTATTATAATTATTATAAAAAAATAATATATGCTCTATTTACATTTTATATTTATAAATATATTAATGGATATATAATAGTATATATTCATATTTTAAAATATTTCATGATTTTATATTCTTATATTCTTTTATTCATTTTTTATGATTTTATTAAGTTTTCTTTAAATATTTTCTTAATTTTTTTCTTAATTTGGTACAAGATTTGATCATGTCAGATTTAATGTACAATTTTCTGCAAAAACAGTATTGATTATATTCAAGATTAATTAATTTATATACATATACTGCAAGCAATAATTACATTGATTTCGAAAAAATAACTTTTCAAAGAAGTTTTTAGAATCATAAAAAAAAAAAACGATATATCATATCATTTAGTTTTCATAATATCTTTTCAATTTTATTATTTTTTTCTTTATTCTATTTTAATAATGTCTAATTTTTTGTTGATTCGAACATTTTCTCATTTTTTATCTACTTAGCATCGAACATTTAAGTATCTACATGTCACTCCAGATAGCGCCACACCATCATACTATTCGATATCATGAATTGTGTCCCACCACTTCCATAGTTGGTGATCTTTGTAGCATAATGCCCGTGTGGCGTGTGCGCGGTTCGACGTTACGACAGCGGCCTACAAGCAGCAAGTGTTAGTTACGCGTATCATCGGCAAAACGGTGGCCATGACTCTCACATCATTGATCATTCTTTACAATCTAGAAACAGTTCGCTCCATGCTAGACGCGATTTAGTAAAACGTTCCTGACGGATTAGCAGAATCGCATATATCTCGAAAGGTGAGGCGCTTGTATTTTGGCAGCATCGTCGTGTTTCGTCATGGTGCTTTTACATTTACACACGCGTACAGATATGGTCGCGTGCCATCGCAAGAAATCTGTGGTAGTGGTGGATATCTAGAGTATCGACTGGAGAATGTAGTGCGCTAATATTAGAATTTCAACCAGAGATATCCTTCATTGATCATTAGGCTTGGTGAGTGTCTTCTGATAAATCTTTCCTATAGAGACTAAAGATAAACAGAAGATGATGATCTATTGTCTCAGACCTAATTTCGCATTATTTATTTTTAATGCTATTTTCTATCAAGTGAAGGTTTATAGAAAACATTTTATTTTTTTCTGGATTTGATTGGAATCGATGTTGAAAATAACTTTTAAAGAAATAGAACGGAGATATAGGGTTGAGAGAAAGAAAAAGAAAGAGACACACCCCTTGAAAAAGAAATGTCTGTGATTCTCTCTGTCATCATAAGATGGGAATGAGTCATAGGGATAATACGTGTTGCGGTCTCGATAATGTCAAGAATACTCCGAATAAGGAGACTACGAGCTTCTCGAGTTTCGAAGGAAATTATATTGGTTTGCTCGCTTGAACGCTTCGTATACGGTGAGCTCAAGCGAACACGTTCACTTTATATTATAAGTTTAATAAGCAAGATTACCATGATATAATAATTATCAATAATATGCTACTGTTTATGGAAATATTTTTATTATTTAACATGATTAAGATCGAATAATTAATGATTTTAATGTCAAGTATATAAATTTTAAATTATCTAGATAATTATATTATTTCACAAAATAATCTATAAAAAAACGAAACTATTTATATATTTTTTTATATTTCTTATTAAAAAGACGAAGAAAATAAATATTAAACATATTGCGTATTTATGATATTATCTAAATATGAGATATTTTATACATTCTTTAGAAAATTATGTGTTTGTTTCAATTGATAAAATGCATGACGTTCAAAATGTCATTTGTTATCGGCTTATCTGAATGATATTTTTACTCTAGTATATTTCTACAATCATTCAATCAGCATTTTTCAATGTTTCTATATTTTTTAAATCGATTTTCCGCGAATCTATAATTGAAGTTGTTTGCGTCATATTAAGAAGAAGAACGTGTTTCAAATAAGCAAAAGTTTTGAAATGTTTTCAAAACTTTTTGAAAAAATAACTTTATTTTGAAATTATTTTTACATATATATTAGTACAAATTCAATTATTTATATTATAAATTAGCATTCATTTTATTTTTCTGTATCAATCTATTTCATCAATCTATTTCCCAATAATCTCTAATTGAAGATATTAAAAATTAATTATCATATTGTGTATTAACCTTCAATGTTACATATTGTTTTACAAAATTATTACCATATTTTAATTTTAAACAAGATTTATATTCTTTTTTAATTTATATGAAAAAAAAATATCACAATTATTATTTTCATGTATATGCTGTATGTGGGTTATATTAATTTATGATATTACCTTTCATAAATATTTTTCATTTCATGTGAAATTATAAGAAATATAATTAAAATATAGTAATATAGTAATATAAAATATATATAAAAAAAAATATAATATAGTAATATAAAATATAGTAATATAGTAATATAAAAATATATCATAATGTGATAAATAATAATATATATGATTATGAATTATATATGATTATACATAGTCAAATATATTCCGTTCAATTAACTATTTCAAGTATTTATGATCGTATTGTTATTATATATTATTTGTTATAGTATACATAATTAAATAATAATGTATTGGAAAAAATATATATATTAGTATTGGAAATATATATATATAATTCATATGCAGCGTAAACAATTATATAATTATAATGAAAGCAACATGGCAGATTAAAAAAAACATCAATTCATATAATTAATGACTTATTCCATAAAAAAAAAGTATATAATTTAAGCAATAAATGCATAATGGTTAGTGTGTTAGATTAATGCGCAGTTTATTCTACTTTCTAAATGCATCTGTTTTCCATTCCAAAAATTGATCCATCATATTCTGTTCGCGATTTGTTTTCAAATATTTAATCAAATCAAAAGCAAACATTTATGATAACTTTTTTAATCAAATGCAGAAATTGTAATTAAATATGATTATGACATAATAAAGTAAATTTATACCTCATCTTCATTTTTTCTCGTTTCGAGTGAAATTACATAGTGAAAATTTTTCAGAATAATTTGGGCGACTCAATTTTATTAGATATAAGAAACAAATAGATTAGAGAGAGTGAAATCTTTTTACATCGAATAATTGAAACGAATGTTAGTTATATCTTAGAAAAATATCATTGAATTAGCAAGTTCTTTGAAGTCAGTAAATCTTACGTTTAATAAATCCAAGAAAATATCTGATAGAAATTTGTTAACTGAATGATCTCATTCGCTTTCTGATCAAATGTTCGAGACTATAAAAGGTGAAAATAATCCGTATTATCGAGAGTTTTCTTTCTTCTCTTGGTGAAAGAAGGATCGGGCGGAAAGAAAATCGTCCGAGAGAAGGCCGAAGAAAAAATACACGAGACCGCGAAAGGGTGAATGATAAACGAAAGATGCGTTGTATCGTCGGAAATAAACGTGTCAGGGGTGAGGATATATAGGCGGGGAGAAAGAAAGAAAGTTCACTACGTGGGGTTCTGTGAACCCGCGTGTAAATATGGCCTCATATCGGCCAGCAGTGACAGCCGAAAGTGGAGGTTATTTGGGAAGTCATGGGGAATTTCATTTTTAAGGTAATCTTCGTGAAACATCTATTTCTAATTACAGAATTACCAAAAATTCTATTCCATTAAGTTTAAAATAACAAACTTACTCACTTTATCAAATTTTGTAAAAAATTACCTCAATTTTAAATTTGGTTTAAGCAAATCAAATACATCAGTCAATAGTCATTTCTATTCTGCATTTAACTTTCTATTTTATTCGGCTAACTATACTATAGAAAAATTAATAGATCTAGATTTATCTAAACTTATTTCACTGGTTTTCTTCATTAATATAAGGTATAAAATTTCTTTCTTTATCTTCTTTTATGAAAAATTCGAAAATTTTTAATCCAAGATTGTATATTTTTCTGAATCGTAAAAAATTTTATGCAAAAATTTTTCGCTCTTGAAACTAAATTTAAACTAAAATTGAAATGAACATTTTGTCGATGATTCAATAATTTAACTTTTCACCGCGAAACACGATCGCGCCATCATCGATACGATCAGAGAGATTCTTTTTTATCGCGGGACACGTCTACTCATAACTGTTCTTGGCATGGATTCGCATGCGAGACTGGCACAAGATCTGGTAAAACAAAATCTGGTCTCCTTCTCTTCGTGACGTAGCCCGCGTTATATTTTATAATTAGTCTGAGCAACGAAGAAGTTGCGCAATTTCTGAAAGAAATCAGCAAGTCTCGACACCAAAATCAGCTGATGCAAATTTTCTCAGTGAACAAAAGGACTGTTCGTCGAACACATCTGTATTCTACATTTGTTTCGTAAAAATATGGAGTATATCAATAAATTGCTTCATCGAGCTGTTGCAATCCCAGCAAGGACATCGATGTCGCCATCACCATTGCCATCGCCCACGTCGCCGGTATTTTGTGTCTAACTAGTGAAAAGCTTGATTAATGCGCATCTTGTCGCGTTTGTGAATTGGCAAGGGTAGATGTAATTTCTTTAAGCGCGTTCAAGCGTAAGCTTTAACGGAAAATTTTGCGTTAATTAATGTGAATATGAGGGTTGAAGATTTTGAAAGATTTTAGAGTTGATTTAGAAAGATTGTATTATCATTATCGTGATTCATTCGTATTTTTGAATTTTTTAGAAAACTATCTAATAATTTTTGCAAATTTTTAATAATAAAAAACCATTTATAGAATTAGCAATTAATGACTTATTTTTATCGTTAAAAGTGGTATATTATAATTTTTTTAAAAATAGTAGTAATCAAAAAAAAAAGATGAATTATAAAATGAATATAACATGTAACGTTTATTTTAATAATGCATCTTTTTTGTTTTTTAGAGCGGTACCGACAATTCCGTGTCGAAGAGTGCGGAGCATGAGGTGAAAGTTCGATTTGCTCGAGAGTTCGCTGATGTTGGATCGATCACCTACACGAATCCAGAAAGTCTATCCTCATCTAGCAGTTTTCAAAGTCTCAATAGTACTTTAAGTACAAAGAGTAGCAGCGGTATCTGTCCAGACTCTGTACCTTCGAGTCCTCAGAATAATTCTTACGTGAATTCAAATATATCTGGCTTGGACGATTTGATTACCGGTTGTGCGACAATACATTTAAACAGTGAAGACGAACATTCATTTAGTACACTTGAAAATTCTCAGGACTTCAGTCAAGATCAAACATTCGCATCTGCCACTGATGAATTAGCAGCTAATGACACTAAAAATCTCGCAACTGAGATCTCATTGACGGATGATTTTCAAAAGGCAATTGAAATCGTTGAAAACAATTTAGAGACTCATGAATTTGTAGACTCACCGATTAATACTACACAAAATATACAGGAACGATCTCTTTTAGGTACAGTTTGCATCAGAGAACCTCTTCCTGTAGCAATTGTATCAAATAGGAGAAATAGTTTTATACAAATAGATATAGAAAGATCTCCTAAAAACAATAATAATTTAAATAATCATCAAGCCAATAATAGTTTTAATGGCGATGATCAAGCTTCACTGTCACAATGTCATAATACAGAGGAATCTAATTTAAATTCGACATTTGTATGTTTATCATCCAGTAAAGAAATCACAGATGTTACTAAAGAAGAAGAATCTAGTATATTAAAGAATAACTCAAGCGAAGATCATTCTTTGCCTGTGGATTTTATACCTTATAACATTGTAAATTCTGTATGCAATTCAACTTCTGTATTCGCGGAATATGGTGAAGAACCGTCATTACCTAGTATACCGACGTTTTCTTCCTTACTGACCAGTACAGAATCCTCGAAATTGAATGTAAGCGATACTCAAGAAGTCGATGATAATGTAAAAAATTCATTGGCAAATAATTCTAATGTAGCAATAAATATATCTTCGCACTCTGAATTGACAAATTCCATTCAAAAATTAGAAAATAAAAATAATAATTTGACAGAATCAGATTCACCGAATTTTTCTAATAATGTTGTAAACGATGAGCAAATTTATTTAAATAATATTTCTTCTGTTGAATCAAAAACGCCTGAAGTTCAGGAAAATTTAACTAAAGATATTTGTCAAGAAATTGAAAATAACGATATTGTTAAAAACGTCAATCTTTCTTCGCCAAAAGAAGATAGCTTCAAGGTAAACGATATTGCTTTTCAAAAGAAAGAAGAAGGAACTATTATCTCAGATGATTGTTTTGATAAGAAAAATGTGAATGATTCGAGTCAGACAAATGTAATAAATTTTTCTATAAAAGAAGAAGAAAATCAGGAAATAGAAGAACACGGGTCTTCCGAAGAAAAGTTAGATACTACTATTATTTTACAAGATGTTTCTTTGACTTTAGAAACTGTATCGGAAGTAGAACAATATACGGATTTTAAACCGCAACGACAGAGCACATCATTAGATACGTTTAACATTGAGCAGCCAAATTTCGAAGAACTGAAATCTGCTGCTGAACAAGTCGCCAATGATATTTTTCAATCTTCATTGGAGTGTTCAGAAGATAACAATCCCTTCGTTAGTGCAACATCTGAAAGTAAGTGTTTTTTAATATGAAAATTTTTAAATATCGATAAATATATTAATAATTTAAATTAATATTTATTAATAATTATTATATATCGTAGTCTTTCAAGATCCTACGAGTTTCGACTTTTTGACAAATTACGACAACAAGAAAACTATTAATCGCTTCAGAACCGATTCTTTGTATGTAAAATTTGATCCATTGGTAGCTGATACCAGTATGTTACCTCAAGGTAATACACAATCTATAAACGAGGAACAAAACGGCAAAAGTGAAAATATATCAGAAAATATTGATATATCTAAACGTAATCCTGCTATAGCAGCTATCGATAGATTACTTTTTTATAGTCCTGTTTCTACAAAAATGACACAGAAAACGAATGAAATTCAAGAGAAAATAGCAATCAAAGTATGTATTTTATATATTTGCTAATAATATTATTAGATAAATATACATAAATATTTTTTATTACATAGGAAGAATCTGTAGAAGAATCGAAATCCGATACTTCACTTATTATCGATATTAATATGAGTAAGGAATTAGAATTAGTACGGACAACTGTATTGCAATTAGAAAAAGAATTAGAAAAACAAAAAAAAGAATATGAAGCTGAATTAGAGAAGCAAAAGAATGACAATTTTTCTTTTCAAGAAAAAATTAATAAATTACAAGCACAAATAGCACAAGAAATAAAAAGTAAATCTCAAATGACGTAAGTTATATGTTGTTTATTTAAAACTTATAAAACATATAATAATATTAAAATAATAATATAATAATAATAATATATAATTAAATATATTATTTTTGGAATATTTTTAGTGTTGTAGTTGAAGAATATGAAAAATCGATTAGTCGACTACTCACGGAAAAAGAAAGGGATCGTACGAATTTTGAACAAGAGAAAGCAAAACTTCAAGAGGAACTACAAGTTGCAAATGTTCATTTAAACAATACAGAGGCCGCTTTTAATGATGTTCATCAAAAGTATGAGAGGCTTAAAGGAGTTGTATCCACATGTAAAAGTAATGAAACATTATTAAAAGAAAGTATTCAGGAAAATATGGAAACGATAAAATGTTTGGAAACGCGATACGATCAATTGAAGAATCATGCTATGACCGAACTTGAAAAGTAAGTATCAAGAAAGAAAAAAAAAATTAAAATATTTTAATATATCTTTAAATTATTTCAGAGCTAATTTTGAATTAGATGCTATACGAAAACAACATGAAGATGAAACAGTGAAACTTCATGCAATGCTAAGGAAAGCAGAATTAAAAAGTAATTCATTAGCTGAATTGGTTGAACAGAAAACTAAAGAAAATAAAGAATTAACGCAAATATTGGATGAAGTGATTGCCAGGGTGGGTCATCAAAATGCGGAATAAAAAGTCGAAGATTAAACAAGCATCGCAAATGCGATTAGTCTTTATTTTTTTACTCGTCCCTTAAACGTTTTAGATACAATCAATACTAATTATGATTGATGTATATGTACACATGTGTTGTTTTTAAAATTTATTAATTGCAAATTATGTTTTGTTTCAGAGAAGCACCTTTTATTAATTATTTATAAGTTGTGAAATATATATATATATATACTATTTTATCGCTAATAAAAAATAGGTATATTAAAAATAACCTTTTAGTTTATGTTTATGCAGTAAAAAATATCTTGATATTCCATAAACAATTCTAACATTCACACATCACACATTAATGTTTTATGTGATTTGTTATAATACATTTTAATACAATATCTCACTATATTCAGATAAATAAAAATCACTGATTATATATATATTATCTCTACATATAAATACCAATGTATAATCATTGATATTTCTGTGATAAATAATATATTTTGCGCAAAGTTATGTAAAAATTTTTTCATATACTATATTAATGAGTATTGTTAATCAGTTGGTCTTGCATCAATTACAAACAAAACGTGATATTTTGCTAATTTCAACATACGATCACTTGTACTTCCTGGTTTGCGAGGAATATTCTTATTTTCGAGATCAGGCATAAGTTTTTTAATAGTTCGCGCTAAATTCGTAGCATATTGTTTAAATTGTGGATGGGTCATACCTATTCCTTTATCTCGTAAAGCCTCTGCTACTGCCCAGAGTAATTTCTAAACATATGTATTTATATTATGCTATACTAAAGATAATTATTTAAAAATATTTTAAAGTGCTTAAACAAAAATACCTTTCTATGAGTTTCACTAAGTTCGCATCTTCCTTCATGCAAAGATGATTTATTTCTTTCAATTATACTACTAGATGAATGTCTATCCCATGAAGACACTGTATTATTATGCAATTCATGAGAGCAGTCAAAAGATAAACTTTTTGCCCATTTGCATCGTGGTCCTTCTAATTCTTCTTCATTTTTCCTTTTTCTTGATTCCTCAGTATTTTGACTTTTATCAGAATCACTTTCTTTTATATTTTGTGTAAATAATGCACGTTTAATTCTTATAGAATTTGAATCATTTGCGAGTAACTTGCTCGGACCAGGTAGATCAGAAGGAGGAGGACTTTGGAAAAGTGCACGTTTAGATGTTTCAATTTTAGATTTTAATGGATTAGATCCATCTAAAATAAGTCGTCGAGCCACTTTTTTCTTTGTTGAACTTCTGGGAGTTCCTCTTGGACTTTTGCCCCGGGGACTTTTACCTCGTGGACTTTTGCCTTTTTTAATTGTAGGTTTTCTATACATAAAAAAAAATAATAAATTTATATTTAATAAGTTTTAAATTAATAAAATCTTTTCAAAATATGTTTCACAACTTTGATACGTACTTAATATTTAATACTAAAAGTTTTTTATTATTAAGAGCTAATCCTTGTAAATTCGCACTAGAGAATACTTTTCGTCTCTTTGTTAAATGACTTAATCTTTTTCCTGGACTTTGACCATTATTTCGATTAGCTAAAAGATTTCGTTTTTTAGCACTTCCTGGTGCTGGTTTAGAAAACCATACAGTACACGTAGATTGAGTTTCAGCTCCTATATACCTACTACATAATTTTGATGTAAGGCTTTCAAATTCTTCAACTGCTTTATTTCTGTTATAACTAAAACCATAAAAGTATTATTATGTATCTTTATATAGATATTATAAATCATAATATACAGATATACATTAATGTACTCACTGTATTCCATGAAATTTATGATAATATGCTTCAGGCCATGTCAAAGTATTAACATTTTTTTCATTAATAGTATAATAAAGTAATGATTGTTGTGGTGCAATTACAACTGATTCTTGTTTTACCTTGTTTGTGGTTGCTTGTACTTGCTCATTATTAGGAACTGCTTTCTTTATTCTAAAATTATCACTGCAAATATTTTTTAAATCTACTGTATCTATATTATTACTAATATTACTTTGATATTGTGGATCACAAGCATCAAAAGCAGTACTTAAATTTCTAGATGTGCTTTTGATATGTCGATAATTATTTGTACTAATATTTTCTTTTTGTTGTTCTGGGAATTCTCTATTTAGATCTTGCTGTACGTATTTTTCTGGTAATGCAAATGGTGTCCAAAATAAATGTTGATTCTCATAAATACGTAATAATAATTCTGAGCAATCTATTCTACAAATTGTAAGTTTAGGTGGTGGTGGTACACCACTCAGCAGTTTATTGATTTTTGCTAATATATCATTATCAGATTTTGCAATCAAGTCAGCTTGAGAAGGTTTTTCAAGTTTTTCATTAACTATTATTGGTATTTCATTTATAAATTCTTCATTATCCTTTTTGTCATCTTCATCTCCACTATCGAACATCTCTGGACTAGAGATGTTTGGAAGCTCTTTTTGAATTGTGGGACTTCCATCTTTGCTAGAATAACAGCAATCCATGGCATTGTCTATTAAAGAAAAAAAGGAAAAACATGCAAACATAAAAAATAATTAAAATTTTCTTAAAAATTTAGTAAAAAATAAAAATTTTTGATTAAAATAACTTTTAATAAAAATATTGCTATTAAATATAAGTAACTCATTTCTATATTTTTATTTAAATGCATAAATTTTTTTGTTTAAATAATGAAAAATGTTTTACTAAAAAGAATTACATTTCGATGGTTATACATAGCACAAAATGTTCGTTATAAACACGTTATTTAACCTTACAGAAAATTAAATATTGATAGATAAAATTACAATAAATATGTTTCATAATCGTTCAGATTATTTATATCTTATAGGGATATAATTTATCATTTAGATAAAAATCTACTTTAATAATCATTAATCTATTATATTACTACGTGAAATTGTTTATTGCTTCTCGAATTTTAAATTAAAGTAACTATAAAAACTGAATACAGAAAAATTTGAATGTATTTACGTCTTGTGTAAATCCTTGTCGAAATGTTTCACATTCAATTTTACTGGCTAACAGCCAGATGTATCTGTTATGATTTCCCGATACCAGAAACACAGTTTGATATGCATAACAGTACTGTATACGTCATAATCTGACGACAGCATGTGTTATTCTTAAGGCTGCTTTTTCTCTCATACTTTCATTAAACCTCACTATGTAGGATAGCTTCAGGTACTTATTTGTTATTGCGTATCTTGAAAGATATTATTATCTTAAGTTTTTATCTGATAGGGGAAATATGAATAGTTCCAAACATAACTATAGTGACGTATAAAAATGACATATAGTTGCATTTTGTAGATTGGCAATTGCAACGAAGCTTAGAAAACAATAATAATTACGCATATTTAACAATAAAATATTTAATGCTAAACATTAAATTTTTTTATTTATAAACATTAAATTAACATATTATATATATGATATTATTATATACATGTAAAGATATGATAAAGTGATATCAATATTTTTATAAAATCTTTGCTACAAATTTAATAGAAGATACATGACAGGTATTTATCGCATATGTAAATTCTATATAGAGCTTCTTATTTGATTTATCTTAATAATATCATTCAATTTAAGATTAAGATTTGATACACAATTTGAACACAATTAATAATTTTATTTTTTTAATGATTTTATTTTGATGATATTATTAAAAAGTTAAGAAAACATTTATTTAAAAATTATATATATTAATTATATGTATTATATGTATTTAAATTTTAAATATATTTATTATTTCCTTATATATATATTATTTTATATTATTGCTTTATTATTAAATTTATATTATCATTTTATAATTCTAATATTTTCTTTTTAGATTTAATTATTATGACAATTATAAAAATTAAAAACCAAATATGAAATTATATATGAAATAAATTTTTCAAACCTGTACTTAAAAAAAATATTTTATAACTTGGATATCAAGGTTACAGGTTAAAGCATATTTTATTAATACATGTTGATTCATACATCAATCCTTATAATTAATTCATTGTACTTTTATGAACTTTCAATGGCATTGTATAACTTATCAGTTTATATATATGAAACATATGTACCATGTTATTGATTTTATTAAATCTAAAAATTTTTAATAAAATATAATTATCTAAGACTTAAAAATGACAAAGGAATTAAGAACTTTTGGCTTGCTTTTATATAAAAATTTAATAGTTAGAAAAAAGCATTGGAAAACGACAATATTTTTACAATGTTTGATACCTATTAGCTTATTTATATTGATACAAGCTATAAGAGATTTCAGCGTGCAACCACCTCTTATATTTAATGAAAGTACATATTATCCTATACAAACCAAAAAAAAATTAACATTATTAAATAGAGAATTTACACAATTATATTATGTACCACAGAATTCATACACAGAAAATATTTTAGAAGATGTTCGTATGTGTTTAAAACTATCACATGAAAATGTAGCTGGTTTTTTAACTGAGAATGATATGATTAATGCTTATACAATGTTGCAAGCCAAATCTCCTACTACAGATGTTTTAGCTCTTGTTTTTGAACAATATAATACAACTGACATAAGATATAAAATCAGACATTCTTTCAAAATTCCAAATATATTATTCCAAAATATGTTTGATCAACCTCATTATAATGTACATACCATATATTTAAATACCATTCCATTTGTGCAATTACAAATATGTGTTGATGAAACTTTTATACATCACATAGCATCGCATCCTATGATGGATATAAAGGTATTATATATGAGTATAGTTGTTATTATTAAATAATAAAATCAATCTTTTTTGTATTATTTATTACATTCATTTTAGCTGTCAATACAAAGAATGCCTTATCCTCCACATGTCAAAATAGATGAATCTGATACAATATTAAGATTAGTGATATGTATGTTTGCAGTTATTGCTTTTTTAATACCACTTTGTATAGAAACAAATTATGCAACAAAAGAAAAATATATTGGTGTAAATGTTTTAATGGCAATGAATGGAGTAAAACAGTATCAGAATCTATTAAGTTGGTTAATTGTTGGCATTATATTTAGTATTTTTTATACAGTACCAATAATAATATTATTTAAAAACACTTTTTCTGGAAATGTTGATCCATATTTGTACTATAGCAATACTTTTATATTTTGGATAATACTCACAGCACATATTGCTCATTTAATATCATTTGGTATGCATATTGCTGCATATTTTTCAAAACGTAAGTAACGTAAGTTTTTAAAAAAAATCAAAATTAAAATATTTATAATAACATAATAAATGTATATAATATATATATAATATGATAAATTAAAAAATGAAAATATATAATATTTTTTTTTAGCACGTTTTGTGATAATAACACTATCAATTATTTA